GAATGAACTTGAGGAAGACTTTAAAAGCTGTATAGTCTTCTCCTACAGCAGGTGGGAAACATATGGCCTGTGGGCTGTAGAAGGCTTCTGAAGTCATTTGGTCTGGGCTTGCCAAGGCAACCATAGGTGGGACTCAAAATTAAGTAAATCTATAAGAGGCTAATTTTTAAGTTGATAAGTTTGTATAGCCCATGATTGATGTTATAAATATTCAGATGACCCCTGGCAGAAAAAAGTTTCCCCACCCCTGCCCTACAGGTCTCTTCCTTGGCTTGGATAGACCCAGACACCTAGTCCTGTGACCATCAACACTGTGGTGCTAGATCACACCCAGAGCACACAGCCTACTGAGACCGGTGCAGCCCACCATTCTGTGGTCTGTTGTTGAGGCAGACTGGCTTGCCCAGTGCCACTCCTGCCAACCACTGGTGATGGCTAGTGTATAAGACTGTGATAAACTAGGGCTGCAGCACTCCACTTGGCACTGAAGCAGGTCCAGAGGCCCTGTTGACAAACACTGACTGTTGGGTCTTAGCAGCCTGGCACTGAGTGCCAAGCAGTCCTGTGGTTCCTTGCTGTCTGCCCCAGGTTGGAGGAGAGGTGATCAAGGCGGCCTGTAGCTGCACATGCGGCACTAGTTGCATCACTCCTGGGTCTCACAGTCCACTGGGCCATACAGAGTCTCAGAGGTGCACTCCAGGTCCAGTTGAGGCTGTGGTGATCCACACGTGAAAATGTTCTACGAGGGACAGTTCTCCTCCTGATAGTGGGGCAAGTCTGGAGGCTCTGTCTCTGAGTACTGGCCTAGTGGGTTTTATCAGATACAGTGGACTTAGATCTGAGTTCTAAGGTAAGGTCCTAAGCTCTCTTTCCTACCCTATTCCATAGCAACTGAAGTCTTGCCATGCCTTCTGCCAGAGATTGGGGGAGGACTGATGGAGGCAGTTCCTGGCCATGTGACTATGGAAAATCCAAATACTAAGTCTATAGGTATTAGCCTCAGAGCAGGAGCTATGGGGCTTTTTCCGACTCTGAGCTTTATCATGATGGGCCTGGCACTGAGATTCTAAGGGTAAGGTAAATGACTAAGGACTGGACTTAATTCCTTCTTCCTCCCCAAAGTAGGAGGTATCTTCTTCCATGCTGTGCCATGTGGTACTAGGGGATTACACTGGCAGCTCTTCCCTCCCTTCTGTTTTCATCATGACTTTTATTATTTTACTAAATCCAGGCACTGTGGTCTCTCACCTGGGTTCTGTAGCTCTTGTGAGGGTGATGTGGTGCTTGAATAGTTGTTCAAGTTGGTATCTGTGGGGAGATGTTCATTGTCAACTTACTTAGCTGCCATCTTGCTCAACTTCCTCCAGAACTTTTTTTAAAAGGTAAGTAAAACCTCACTGAAGGGACTGCATCCATAGTTGAATTTCTCCAGGGTGTGGAGCCTCTCATATTGTTGAAGGATGACCCTGAAAATCACCCCAGTATTTTAAGTAATTATGAAATAATCTTGACCCTCATGATGCCAAGTACATGTTTCCTATTTTACTGAGTGCCCTGACACATAAAGTTTACTAAAGCCATCAAAGCCATATATGAATGGGTGCAGATAGAGAAAGGAGTCTGTAGGACCACTGAACCTGGAGTAGACAGCAGGAGGCCTAAAATTATTGGGTCCCATGTCCTCATTCTCCAGTGAACATTGGTTGAGATGTTATCAGACTGAAGCCCACATCTATGTCATGGTGTAGGACCTGGTGACCTTTGATGATGTGGCTGTGAACTTCACCCAGGAGGAATGGAATTCACTGAACTCAACTCAGAGAGACCTATACAGAGAGGTGATGCTGGAGAACTATGAGAACTTGGCTGCAGTAGGTAAGGCTGTCGTCATTCCTGGTAGCCTTCTACGAAATGGATATGTGAAGGCACTAGAAGCAGTTCATAGAAAAATGGAATTTAACAATAACCTTATTTGGATTAAAAAGTTGAAATCCCTGCTTATTTTTTTCATAATATGCATTTTGCAGGAACCTCTTGAAGACTCCTGTATGCATGAATTTCATATTTTTTTTGCATTGAAATTTGTTTTAATTCCATTTTCTGTTAACATTTTGAAGTAATCTTGTATGTTATATTCTTACTGTGCCCCAGTATCATGATGTCATTTATCACTGGAGTGATAAATAACAGAGGTAGAGTCCTATACTAACATGTTTTAATCTCCTCTGGTAGTTTTCAAGATGTCATCCTAACATCAGTAACATCACTGTTACTCTTCAAAATGTCCATTTTCAGTCTTTGCCCTGACATCCTGAATCAGAAACTCCTCTTTTGCGGCCCTATGTTTTAGTGATTCCTCCACATGATTCTGATACACTAAGAATCACTGGCATAGTTATTTTTTCTAAATGTGTTTCACTTAACTTTCTATTTAATTAAAATTTTAGGACTTTTTAGTCATGTAAATATACATCAGCTTGGGTTTCAAGGATCGGAGATCAGTGTCCTCAAGACACAGAAACGGGATGTTTGTATCCTGATCTCTTTAGCCTTCATTTTGCTGCTTCCATTAGAACTGAAATTTCTTTTAAATAATTTTCATTTTATTGAAAAACAGAGATCTTCTGTCTGCTGCTCCCCAGATGCCTACAACAGCCAGAGCTATGCCAGGCTGAAGCCAGGAGCCCAGAACTTGATTTAGTTCTTCCATGTGGGTGGCAGAGATCCACATTCTTGCGTCATCACCTGTTACTTCCCAGGGTGCACGTTAGCAGGAAGCTGGAATTGAAAGTGGAACCAGGACTCAAACCAGGCACTCTGATATGGGATTCCAGTTGGCATCTTTAACTACTGGGCCAAGCATTCACCATGATGTCTGAATCATGGTATGGTTTATCATTTCTTGCTTGAGCCTCTTCTATTAATGTATCTTTTTTTTTTTTTTAAGATTTATTTTATTTATTTGAAAGAGTTACAGAGAGAGGTAGAGACAGAGAGAGAGAGAGGTAGAGACAGAGAGAGAGAGAGAGAGAGAGAGAGAGGTCTCCCATCTGCTGGTTCACTCCCCAATTGGCTGCAACAGCCGGAGCTGCACCCATCCAAAGCCAGGAGCCAGGAGCTTCTTCTGGATCTTCCATGTGGGTGCAGGGGCCCATGCTATCCCAGGCCACAGCAGAGAGTGGATCGGAAGAGGAGCAGCCAGGACTAGAACCAGCGCCCATATGGGATACTGGTGCTTCAGGCCAGGGCTTTAACCTGCTGCACCATAGCACCGGCCCCTATTAATGTATCTTTACTTGTATACAGGATGTCAGCTTATTAAACCCAGCGTGATCTCTTGTTTGGAGGAAGAAAAAGAGTTGAGGACAGTGGAGAGAGCTGTTCTTCAAGGTTAGTATTTGTGAATAATATCCCTCATCAATTAAAAGTTCAGTATGCTTGAATTTTAATGGGGAAGCTTTTAAAAATATTCTGTCAGAATACTCCTCCTACTCTTCCTCCTCCCTTCCTCCCCTCTCCTTTTCCCCTTCCTTCCCTTTTCCTTTCCTTCTTTCTCCCTTCCTTTCTCTTTCTCTTTCTCTCCCTCTTCCTTTCCCTCTCCCCCTCCCCTTCCCTCTCCTCTTCTTTCCTTCTCTTCCCCTTTTCCTTCTTTTAATAGATTAGACTTTCTCACTTATCTAAAGTGCAAATATAGGGATTTGGGCTAGAGGTAGGAAGATCTCTGCTGTCTCTCATCAGTTCCTTTTGTCTTAATATCTGCCCTTCCTTGAGTTTGTGGTTTTTGTGGATGATCTCAGTTGAGATTTCCCCTTCATTACTTTTCTGATAATACTGTTTCTGTTAACTGGGACATTTTCATTTTCATAATAGATTATCAATAAATTACTAAATTTTGAATGCAGATTCTCATGATTGCCAAATTTTAAACATAGCAACACTGCTCTGATCTATTTTTCTTTGCTTCTAAGCATGTTTAAAATGAAAACAAATACAAATGAACTGTATCATTTTTAACTTATTTAATCTACTATTTTGTTGTGTAAATCATTACATATGTTTTTTTTATTTGACTTCAGAATGGAACATACACCTTAACAACAAAGGACCAGCACTTTGGCAAGATATTTTTTGGTCACATACTCCAAATGGGATACAAGTGGTAAGATATACAGCAGATATGCCTTATTTTCCAGAGTGATTGGAAATTTCATGATAGAAATCAGCACAAATGATAAATTTTTGAGTGAAGCAGCATTCACTCATAAGGGAGTCATGCATCTGGAACGATGCTCTGAACCTGGCATGGAGCTTGGTGCTTCAGAGTTCCCCTCAGGACACATTCCCCCAGCTATAACCTGACATTTGGTTTTTAAAGCAATTTCATGAAAGTCTACAGGAATCTTTTCCAAAATTAGTGCAGATGTCACTAATTTCTTTCAAAGTCAAAGAAATCCAGAGGGTAAGAACCATGTGCATTTAATGAAAATAATAGAAATCATCATCATCATTATCATATTTGTTTTCATTATGAGTAAAATTTTTTAATAAGTTTGAAAAATTTTTTAAAATCACCATTTATTTCTGTCAACAGGAAGAAAGTCAAAATGGAGTGGAGCTCTATGAATGTAAGTCAAATAGTGAAGTGTTCAAAGAACACCCAGGCCTTCTGACACACATGAGTGCTCAAAATAGAGGGAACACAGGTACATATGATCAGTATGGAAAAGTCATTTCAACTCTGCACAAGGAACCTGGAGAGAACCTTCCTGTGTTCAGACAGTATGGGAAAGACTTAAGTGTAACCCCAAATACTTACCAGACAGCAAGCTTGCGAGACAAATCCTTTGAATGCAGTGACTATGGACAAGCCTTTATTGATCAGTCATACCTTCAGGCACATGGGAGAACTCAAAATGGTGAAAAACTCTGTGAATGGAAGCAGTGTGGTAGCACTTTGACTTCCTCCGTAAGTCGTCCGGATATACATGTTCAAACACCCACAGGAAAAAAATCCTACGAATGTAAGGAATGTGGAAAAAGTTTCAGATATTCTGCCAACCTTAATATTCATATGCGAACCCATACTGGCGAGAAACCTTATCAGTGTAAGGAATGTGGGAAAGCCTTCTCTAGGTTTTATCCATTAACTCAACATTTAAAAACTCACACTGGAGAGAAGCCGTTTGAATGTAAGGTATGTGGAAAATGCTTTAGAAATTCCTCCTGCCTCAATGATCACTTTCGAGTTCACACTGGACTAAAACCATATAAATGTAAGGACTGTGGCAAAGCTTTCACTGGGCGCTCTGGCCTTAGTAAACACTTACCAACTCATACTGGAGAGAAGCCTTATGAATGTAAGGAATGTGGGAAAGCCTTCACTACGTCCTCAGGCCTTATCAAGCATACACAAACTCACACAGGCGAGAGACCCTTTGAATGTTACCAGTGTGGGAAAGCTTTTGCTTCTTCGTCATCTCTCATTACACATTTGAGAATTCACACTGGAGAGAAGCCCTTTGAGTGTAAAATATGCGGGAAAGCGTTTTCATGTTCTTCTTATCTTCGTATACACATGCGAACTCACACTGGAGAGAGACCCTATGTGTGTAAGGAATGTGGGAGAGCCTTCACGGAGCGCACATGCCTTACCAAGCATTTGCGAACACACACTGGGGAGAACCCCTTTGAATGTAGCATATGTGGGAAAGCATTTGCATGTTCTTCCTACCTTCAGAATCACATGCGAACTCACACCGGAGAGAAACCTTATATATGTAAGGAATGTGGGAAAGCCTTCACTGTTTCCTCACATCTCAGTAAACATACAAGAATTCATACTGGAGAGAAACCTCACAAGTGTAAGGAATGTGGGAAGGCCTTCACTGTGCGCTCAGGCCTTACTAAACATATGCGAACTCACACTGGGGAGAAGCCCTATGATTGCAAGGAGTGTGGGAAAGCCTTCACTACGTCCTCAGGCCTTATTGAACATATAAGAATTCACACAGGAGAGAAACCCTTCGAATGTTACCAGTGTGGGAAAGCCTTTGCTTCTTCCTCCTATCTCATCGCACATTTGAGAATTCACACGGGAGAGAAGCCCTTCGAGTGTAATATGTGTGGGAAAGCGTTCACATGTTCCTCCTACCTTCAGAATCACATGCGAACTCATACTGGAGAGAAACCGTATGTTTGTAAGGAATGTGGGAGAGCCTTCACTGTTTACTCACACCTAAGTAAACATGTAAGAATTCACAGTGGAGAGAAATCCCAGAAATGTAAGGAATGTGGGGAAACTTTCAGTAGTTCTTCTCATCTTACGGAACATACACAAACACACTGGAGGGAAAACCTTTGGAGGTAAGGAATGAAGAAACTTTTAGGAAGTCCTCAGACCTTAGCACATTCAAGTTTGCACTGATAAGAGATGTCCCTCTTCAAAGACCTGAACGAACGAACTCTGACAATGTCGCGTGAATTTTAGGAATATGGGAGAGCTGTTGGAATCTGCTCACATCCAGTGTAAGGGATGCATCCTGAAGCCATACAGTGTCTAAAACATGGAAAGCCTTCACAGTCCTTGGGTTCTTACTAAACATGTGAGATCTTGTAACGGAGAGAAACCCTAATTATGTAAGATGAGGAAAAGTTGTAGTCCTAAATATTTTCATGTTCACTTTGGGATCTCATGGTAGAGAAAGATTTCATGAAAGTAAGAAATGTTGGAATATCACCATAAAATTACATTGTCCCTCAGCCTTTAATAAACATAAGGCTATTCGTATTTATTGAGAAACTGCATGTATGGGATGTGAAAATTGCTTCCCTCTTTTCTAAAATGTATGGCTTTTTTGGTTTTATGGATTTTTTTGAACATTTGAAGTTTGAATATTTGAAGAATATTTAAATATTTGTGTATTTTTAAACTTCTCAGTCCTATCTGATTACTACTACAGTCTTAATTTTTCTTTCATCTTTATTGAGGTATGATTGACAACTAAATTTATATTTAAGGTGTACATCCTGGTGGTGATACATGTATGCATTGTGAAATGATTACTCTAGTGAAGCAGATTAAAATACTTCTTACCTGACATAATGACCTTTTATTTTTGGTGTTTTGGAAAATTTTCTTATGTCTTAGAAGATTTTAACTATATAGTATTTTATTAAAGTCATCATGCTGTATAGGTCTCAACTTACTCATCTTTCACTGAAAGTTTCATCAGTATCTCTGTTTTCCCCATCCCACAATCCCTGGAAACCACTATTCTGTTCTGTGCTTCTATGAATTTGAGATTTTTAGATACCACATATTAAGTGTGGCCATACACTATTTGTTTTTTTTTTTTTGTCTGGCTTCACATAGCATAATACATCCAGGATCAACCCTGTTGTGACAAATGGCAGAAATTTCTTCTATATTTAAGGCTTAATATTTTATTATACACACACACGCGCGCACACGCGCACACACACACACACACCATGTTTTCTTTATTCTGTCAAGAGACACTTAGGTTCTACTGTTAACTGAATGGTATTAGTATTGCTCCTTTGGATATAAGGGCACATATATCTAGTCATTTTATTCCTTGGATATATACACAGAATTGTGTCTGCTGGGTCACATGGTTCTATTCTTTGAAGGATTTATTTATTTAATGTATTTATTTTATTTGAGAGGTAGAGTTATAGACAGAGAAGGAGAGACAGAGAAAAAGGTCTTCGATGTACTGGTTCACCCCTCAAATGGCTGCAATGGCCAGAGTTGGGCCAATCTGAAGCCAGGAGATTCTTCCAGGTCTCCCACGTGGGCGCAGGTGTCCAAGTACTTGGACCATTTTCTGCTGCTTTCCCAGGCCATAGTAGAGAGCTGGATCAGAAAAGGAGCAGCCAGGACTGGAACCGGCACCCATAAGGGATGCTGGCACTGCAGGTAGCAGTTTCAACCATTATGCCATGGCACCAACCCCCGTTGTTTATTTTTAATTTATTAGGATCCTTTATACTCATTTCCTGATGACTCTGCCCATCTTCATTCCCGCCAGCAGTGTGCAAGCTAACACTTGATTATCTTTTGATGTTTTTGATAAGAGCCATGCAAATGTGATGTGATCATTTTGATTTTCATTTCCTTGATGACAGTGATTTTGAGCATCTACAAATACCTGCTGACCATTTGTATATCTTCTTTGGAAAAATATATATCCAGGTGTTTTTCCCCTTTTAAAATTATTATTTTTGCTATTGGGCTATATGAATTCTTTATATGTTGGGTGTTTATCCATAATTGGGTATGTAGTTAAAAATATTTTCTTCTTTTCCATACATTCCTTTTCCAATTTATTGTTTCCTTCACTATCAAAAAAAGTTTTTAGTTTGATATAGTCCTGTTTGTTCTTGCTTACATTGAATTCTTTCAGTGTCAACTCCAAAAATAATGTTATCAAGACCATTGTCAACATACTTTTTCACTGTTTTCTTTTAGGATTTTTATGGTTTTAAAGCCTTAGGTTTTCATCTTTAACCCATTTTGAATTGAGCTTTGTGTATGGTGTGAGGTAGCGATCCAATTGCATTGTTTGAATGTATCTGTCTAGTTTTTTCAATATAATTTATTGAAGAGTATCTTTTACACATTGTGTATTCTTGGCACATCTGTCAAAATTTTGTTAACAAATATGCATGGTTTTACATGTGGGCTTTCTGATGTGTTCCATTGGTGTGTCTATCTGGTTTTGTGCCAGTATAATATTTATTTGATTGAAATCAGGATGTGTAACACTTACAATTGTGTTTTGCTCAGAATTGTTTTGCCTTTTCTGAGTCTTTTGTGGTTCCATATGCATTTTAGAAGTTTCATAAATAATGTAACAAATGCCATTGATATCTTGAAAGGGATGGCAGTAAGTAGGTTGCTTTGGGTGGTATGGGCATTTTCTCAATATTATTTCATCAATCAAATAGGATAGCATCCCTTGTAATAGTTTCTTATTTAATTTCTTTTTCTGACTTTACCTTCAGTTTATCAATCTTTCATTTCCCCGGTTAAATTTATTCCTAACTATTATATCATTTTTATTCTATTATAAATGGAATGGTTCCCTAATTTTTCACTGCTAGTGTATAGAAACACTACTGATTTTTGTATGTTGACTTGGGCAGTTCCCTGGATTCATCTGTTCCTGTTTTTAAATGGATCATTACAGTTTCTATATTCAAGACCATGTCATCTGCAGAAAAAAAAAAAAAAAATAAATAAAAGATCCACTTTATTTCTTTCTCTTTTGGATGCCTTTTATTTCTTCTTGCTTAGTTGCTTTGGGTAGGACTTGCATGGTGAATAGAAGTGACAAGGATTGGTATTCTTGTCTTGCTCTTGTTAAAGAAAAAACTATAGGTTATCCTTGTTCATTATGCTGTTGGCTGTGGTCTTGTCATATATGGCCATTATTGTGTTATAATACATTCGTTCTATGCATAATATGTTGGGAGCTGGTATCATGAAAGGATGTTGAATTTTGTTGAATGCTTCTTCTGCATTTTTTACCAATGTAATTTTCTCTTCATTTTGTTAATGTGTGTGATATTTATTGATTTGCTTATGTTGAACCATCTTTGCATCCCAGATATAGATCCCACTTGTGTGTGATACTTTTAATTAATTTAAATGTGAATGGGCTAAATTTGCCCATCAACATAGAATGGCTGATTGCCTTTAGAAGAAATGACACATTTGTATGCAGCCTATGAGAGATTTCATCTTTAGGGATGTAAGTAGACTGAAAAGAAGGGATGGAAAAGATGTTTCTTATAAATGAAAACCAAAGAGAATAGGAATACCTATATATGTTTCAGACAAAGGACATGTTTAAGTCAAGAACTATACTAAGAGAAAAGGATATCATGATGAAAAAAATGGTAGCTTCATCAAGAAGAAATAATTGCTGGACATATGTATGCACCTAGTTGTGGGGAGCAATCCGGACTAGACTAGGTTACTCGAATTAGGACTTATTCTATGCATCTGCTCTCCCACAATATGGCGCTGGGAGAGAAGTAAACAGCTTCCGCACAGCTGCCTCCAGTTCAACCAATTAACTGTAGGACTTGCTCCTGATTGGAGAGCAGCGTACTCAGCCGAGTTGGGATTGGCGGAGGAGGACTATAAAGGAGGAGAGAGACGGCATGCACCAGGAACATCTATGGGGAACATCTAAGGGAACCCGTGCAGCCCCCGAGAGAACCGGCCGGCGGTGTGCCGCTCCCCTGCGGAAGTGGGGAATGCGGCCAGGGGGAACTGCCCTTCCACGGAGGTGGAAGGGATAGTAGCCAACCCGGGAAGAACCAGCAGCAAACCCGGGGAGGGCCGAGCAGACAAAAGAACAGCGCAGGGTTTAGTGTCGCTCCTCCACGAAGAGGGGGAGTGACACCTAGTAGCAAAGCACCTGAGTATAGAAGGCAAAAATCAACAGCTCTGAATCAAGAAATAGATAGCTATATAACAATAGTATGGGTCTTCAATATCCCACTTTCAACAGTGGATAGATCATGTAGGCTGAAAATAAAACACTGGACCTGAATAACAGCTTATACCAAATGGACCTTACAGATCTATACAGAACATTCCATTTAAAAGCAACAGAATATACATTCTATTCTATAGCACAGAGAACACTCCAGGATAGATGATATGTAAGACATTATACAAGTTTCACTTTTTCTCACTTGTCCTTTATCTGGACCAGGATTCAGTTCATAATCTCAAGTCCCATTAACTTTGATATTGTGAACATCCACACTACCAATAATTAATGATTGAAAATCAATATATATGTAATTACTGATGCTTGTATTTAATTCAGTGGTCTAATTTTAATGCTTTCCATTTTTGTCATTTTTAAATGGGTCATGTTTTTCCTCATTAAATTCTTAAAGTCTGGGACTTACGTACTTCATTACTTTAAGACTTTTCTGCTTTAAAAGTCTTAATACCTTTGCTTTATCATAAAATGTACATTTTGAACACAGTCATTTCTGTGACCAAGATCCTGGCAGACATTAGCTGAGGGACTTACAGACTGGTGTGAAATCACACAAGTTTAAACTACAGGCCCATAGACCGGTAGACACAGCCTCTAGCAACCACCTGGTAAACAGGTACAACAATGATGAATAGGACTGATTCCTGGACCCAGACGTTGAAAATGGTCCAGGGACACATTGTGACAGATAAAAAATCATTCCACATTCTTTGCAGCTCTTCTCATTGAGGTGTAGCCCATATCTCTCCCTTTATTTCTTGATCAGTCTTTTGACTGGGAGGTGTGTTCAGCCTGGTGGCTAAGATGCTGATTAAGATGTCCTGGAAGGCAGTGGTGGTGTCTTGAATAAGTTATTGGGTTTCTACCACTCATGAGGGGGACCTGGATTCACCCTGAGCTATTGTGGGCATCTGAGGCGTGTGCCAGTGGTAGGGAACTCTCAGTCACTTTGCCTAATAAATGAAAGTTACACATAAACATATGTGTTTTGGAAAACCATTTGACATTGCTACTGAGTTTGAACATAGGTATTCCTTGTTCTACAAAATATGTAGACATCAAGATAAAAGTCCTAGATTGCCCTGAGCTGATTTGAAATACCATTTGGGGAAAAAGCCTGAATTTCCCTGAGCTGAAAAGATAAATGCCCTTCTATAAAGAAAAATGATAGTTTGCTAGTTGTAGTAGCTTCCATTCTTGGCACAAAGTAAATTAACACATATATATATTACCTCACAGTTTCCATGGGCTGGAGTTGTAAGTATGGTTTAGCTTGAGTTATGCTCGGGATCTCCTAAGATGGAAGTCTGTGTTGTCCACTATTCATGCTAATCTGGAGGCTACAATGTTTTAGGGTACGCTTGCAATCTCCATCAGATAGGTGGACGAGCTTATTTCCTGTGGCTGTGGAACACTTGGAAGTTTCTTTTGTTCCAGAGAGCAAAAAGATAGTATATGCTGCTGTTAGCCTTTGACCCTCTCTGAAGAGACTTGTGTAATTTGTTCAGGTGAATCTGTTTACAGAGCTCTCCAGACTATAAATAAACCCAGTGATTTTTCTGGAGATTGCCTTGCTTAAATAACATACAGTCTGAATGGGGACTGGAATTTGCTCTGCCTGCTTTCTTGCCCATAATGTAACAACTACAAGACTCTCATCCTTTGACCTTTGAAATACTTTTTTGGCTAGAAGGAAGTTGTTTGTCTTGCCAACATTGAAAGGGAAGAGAGTCTTGTGCTGCAGCTCAATAGGCTAATCCTCCGCCTGCGGCGCCAGCACACCGGGTTCTAATCCCGGTCGGGGCACCAGATTCTGTCCCGGTTGATCCTCTTCCAGGCCAGCTCTCTGCTGTGGCCCGGGAGTGCAGTGGAGAATGGCCCAGGTCCTTGGGCACTGCACCCGCATGGGAGACCAGGAGAAGCACCTGGCTCCTGGCATCGGATCAGCGTGATGGGCTGGCTGCAACGCGCCAGCCGCAGCGGCCATTGGGAGGTGAACCACCGGTAAAAATGGAAGGGATTATGCAAAGACATAGCAGAGGGCAGGATTTAAAGGACCATTTCAGGATTCTGCCTAGTAAACGGGTACACTCAGTAGCATGAGTGAGGGAACCGGAAAGAAATCATATGTGAAAGAATGGATACTATATTGCCGGCCAACTATATTGTCTTAAAAATGGACATGCACACATAGCAAAATTGGTTCCAGTTATGGGGAAGATGGAATGAGCATAATTATATTATGCCAAATACAGGTGTAAAATATGGAAATGATGCATGGTGCAGCCATTTGAGGAATCTGTAAAGGAAATGCTAGCAATTGGATGATAAAACATCAGATTTCAAATTACTGGCAATCAAATCCTAACTTTACCAGTTTTCTCTCCTCTGGTGTTGTCCAGTCTATGCTCAACACAGTTAAAACTCCCAAGGAAAATGTAAGCACATGCTTAGCTCAAGAAGCAGCTTTATGGTTCTGGCACAATGAGACTGGGGTTTCCCAGTGCTCAGTGAACTAGAGATAAATGCCAGTTGTTCCCACCATTCCTTTGCTCCCAGTCTCCAAGTCATCCTTTGATGGCAGTGAAACCGCACAAACCTTGAGAACGAAGTAAGACATAGATAAATCTTCTACATGGTCAAATGGAATGGACGCTAAAAGTACTACAGTGTTGAGTTCATTTTTGAATAAACTCACATTGAAACAACTTATAGTACTGATTAAAACTTGCAAGCTGAGCCCAGTTAGGTAACTGCCTGGTTATAAAATATCTTTATTCTCTGAAGGATTGAAGAACCAGAGAACCATAGCATATTACTTAAAATATCTAGTATATAATCCCAAATTTTCCAGCGTAGTATCAGAGTCTCAGGGGCCTGTATGACAATGCCAAAATGCTAGCATTCACGACATTAGTATCCTTTAAGAAGAGAAAGTGATGCAGCAAAAAATTTTGAAACATGAGAAACTTCTCAAATGTAATGAAAGATAAATCTTCAAAAAGTTCAGTGTCCTAAAATATAACTCCAAAGAAAGACATAAACTGCTGAAAGCTGAAGACAGTCTTGAAAGGAGACTGAGAATAATAACACATTACTTAAATAATTCAATTCACAAAAATCACAAAAGCCAAAGCAAATTCAATAAGAGCTGAGAGAAAAGGAATAGTCGATGCTTTTTGGCTTGCTAAATGAAATATATTCCAAAACTTTATTTCTACCTTACACTAAGAGTTCAACAAATAGTATGACCAAAACAAAACAAAAAAACCACTGTTCCTCAACAGTAGAGACAAGGGCTGTAAACAGTCATCAAATCTCAAAATGTCCATTTCACCCAATACATTACATTTTAGGTACTCTATTAGTTACCCCAGATCAGGGAAAGCATGATATCTGTCTTTTTGGGACTGGCTTATTTCTCTAAGTATGATGGTTTCCAGTTGCATCCATTTAGTTGCAAAAGGAAGGATATCATTTTAAAAAAAGATTTATTTATTAATTTGAAAGAGTTACAGAGAGGTAGAGGCAGAGACAGAGAGAGAGGTCTCCCATCTGCTGGTTCACTCCTTAGATAGCTGCAATGGTTGGAGCTGTGCCGATCTGAAGCCAGGAGTCAAGAGCTTCTTCTGGTTTTCCCACCTGGCCCAAGGACTTGGGCCATCCTCTACTGCTTTCACAGGCCGTAGTAGAGAGCTGGATCAGAAGTGGAGCAGCCAGGACTTGAACCAGCACCCATAGGATGCCAGCACTGCAGGTGGCTTTACCTGCTGAACCACAATGCTGGCCCCATCATTTAACAGCTGAGTACTACTACATAGTGTATATATACATTATAATTTCCTATCCAGTCATGAAATTACTGGACATCTGGGTTGATTTCATATCTTAACTACTATGAACTGAGCTGCTATAAACATGGAAGTACAGGTAATTCTTTCATATGCTGATTTCATTTGGGTAAATTCCCAGGAGCATGTTTTCTGTGTCATATGGTAGGCCTATATTCAGATTTCTTTTTTTTTATTTTTTTATTTTTTTTGACAGGCAGAGTGGACAGTGAGAGAGAGAGACACAGAGAAAGGTCTTCCTTTTGCCGTTGGTTCACCCTCCAGTGGCTGCCGTGGCCGGTGTGCTGTGGCCGGTGCACCGCGCTGATCCAAAGCCACGAGCCAGGTGCTTTTCCTGGTCTCCCATGCGGGTTCAGGGCCCAAGGACTTGGGCCATCCTCCACTGCACTCCTGGGCCATAGCAGAGAGCTGGCCTGGAAGAGGGGCAACCAGGACAGAATCCGGCACCCTGACCGGGACTAGAACCTGGTGTGCTGGCGCCGCAAGGCGGAGGATTAGCCTATTGAGCCGCGGCGCCGGCCCTATATTCAGATTTCTAAGATATCTCCATACTGTCTTCCACAGTGGCTGCAACAGGTTACAGTCCCACCAATAGTGGATTAGGGTACCCTTTTCTCCACAACGTTGCCAGTATTTGTTGTTTGTTGATTTCTGTGAAAGGCAGTCAGACTAGGGTGAAGCAAAACCACGCTGGTTTTGATTTGCATTTCCCTGATGGCTAGTGATCCTGAGCATTTTTTTCAAGTGTCTGTTGGCCAATTTAATTGAAAAAAAATGTCTGCAAGATCCTTTGCCCATGTCTTAACTGGATTGTTTGTTTTGTTGGTGTTGAACTTCTTGAGCTCTTTACAGATTCTGGATGTTAACCCTTTATCAGTTGCATAGTTTGCAAATATTTTCTTCGATTTTGTCAGTTGCCTCTTCACTTTGCTGAGTGTTTCTTTTGCAGTCCAGAAGCTTCTCAGCTTGATGTAATCCCATTTGTCAATTTTCGCTTTCATTGCCTGTGCTTCTGGGGTCTTTCCAAGAAGACTTTGCCTATACCAATGTCTTGCAGAGTTTTCTCAATGTTCTCTAATAATTTGATGGCATCCGGTTGTAGATTTAGGTCTTTGATCCATTGTGAGTGGATTTTTGTGTAAGGTGTAAAGCAGGGATCTTGTTTCATACTTCTGCACACAGTGTTCTTATTTCTTAGCCATCATTGCTTGTATGCAGTAGCTCAAGCTCCAAACGATGTCAGTTGCATAGACGAGGAGTGTGTGTGTGTGTGTGTGTGTGTGTGTGCATACATCCATATATAATGACTCAAAATTAATTTTGAATGTGTTTCATGTGGTTTGGGGGCTAAGTGTAGGCTTGGATGCATGTGCCTGCTTGTGATCTTTTGGGGGTTCCTATTGTCATGAAGGAAGAATAACAGGATAGTAGAGGAATTGTTGATATTTTTTGACAAGTGAGGAGTTGGCCTTTGATCCAGCTTCCACCAGGGGGTTGTGAAAGTGAAGAACTCAGCATTTCAGAGAGGGTCATTGGATATTTGAGAAACCTTTTAACCATACTGGTCATAGAGCAAAGTGGTTGGGGTATGAGATCTAGGTTCAGATGGCCAGAGTGCACATCAGCTCTGCCTCTTGCTGGCTGTGTAAATTGGACAAGTTACATGGATTCTCTTACCTCAGTCTCCTCTTTAGTGAACTGAGAATGATTTTCATTAAGTAATTTAGTGTTGCAAGAATTAAATAAGCGCATCACTTAAATACAAGAAAACTAAAACTGTTTAATGGTATTTAGTAAGATTACTAAATGTGGGGCTGACATAGTACAGTGGATTAAGCTGCTGCTTGCAACACCAGCATCCCACATTGGAGTGCTAGTTGAAGTCCTGGCTAAATTGCTTCTGATCCAGCTTCCTGCTAATGCAATTGAAAAGGTGGTAGATAGATGATGGCTCAGAAGTGTCTGGGCCCCTGCCACCCATGTGAGAGACCTGGATGGGGTTCCTGGCTCCTGGCTTCAGCCTGGCTCAGTCCTGGATGCCATAGCCATTCGGGAAGCAAACCAGCAGATGGAAACTTCCTTTGTCTTTCCCTCTCTCTTGATCAGCCTTTCTTTTCCCCTTCCTCTTTTTCTTTTTTTCCTTTCCTTTCCCTTCTTTCCTCTCCTTTCCCCTTTCTTTTTAAGAATATTTATGTATTTGAAAGGCAGAGTTAGACAGAAAGGGAGGGAGAGAGAGAGAGAGAGAGAGTGAGAGAGAGAGAGAGAGAGACACTCATCTTCCATCTGCTGGTTCACTCCCCAAATAGCTGCAATGGCAGGTGTGGGTCAGACCGAAGCCAGGAGCCAGGAGCTTCTTCTGGGTCCCCCACATGGGTGCAGGGGCCTAAGCACTTGGGCCATCCTCTGCTGCTCTCCCAGGCATATTAGCAGGGAGTTGTTTCGGGAGTGGAGCAGCTGAGACTGGAACTGGTGCACATATAGGATGACAGCATCACAGGCAGCAGCTTTACCTGCTACACCACTCTGCCGGCCCCCTGCTCTGCCTTTCAAATAAATAAATCTTAAAAGATTACCAAGTCCTAGGTAATGACATTTTAAAGAAAACATCATTGTATGCAAATACTATAAATAGAATATTAGTCCAGGTATGATACAAAAAATAGTACACCATGATCAGCTGTATTCTAGGATTGCAAGAGTGGCTTATTATCGAAACTTCCTCAATGCAATTGATTTCTATATTGGAGGTGAAAGAAAAATAATATTGCAAGGAAGTCCAGAAATAAGGCTTCACACATATTGCCAACTGGTTTCCAATAAGGTTGTCAGGGTAATTTGATGAGGGAAAGAAAAGAATGTTTTCAATGAAGGATGCTTGTAAATTAGATATTTGTATGCAAAATGATAAAGTTTGGCTCTTACATCACAATTCAAAATCCACCAAATACAAATCTAATACCTAAAACTGCAACATTCCCAGAGGAAAGTATAGTGAGAAAGCTTTATTACATTGGATTTAGAAATGTCTTATGTGTGGTACCAAAAGCACACAATAAGCAAAGAAAAAATAAGCCAAACCTTATCAACATTAAAATCTTTTGGGTTTCAAAGTATAGTCATTAGCATATACTTTTGAATTGTAACAGAGAACCTATGGGATGGGAGAAAATATTTGCAAATCAGCTATGATAAGGAACTTCTATCCAGAATATATGAAGAGCTTCTACAGCTCAGCAATGAAGACAATTTTTTAAACTTTTATTTAATAAATATAAATTTCCAAAATACAGCTTTTGAATTACAGCAGCTCCCCCCCATAACCTCCTTCCACCCGCAACCATCCCATCTCCCACTCCCTCTCACATCCCATTCTTCAGGATTCATTTTCAATTATCTTTATGTACAGAAGATCAACTTAGAATACCCTAAGTAAAGATTTCAACAGACTGCACCCACACAGACACACAAAGTATAAAGTACTGTTCGAGTAGTAGTTTTACCATTAATTCTCATAGTCCAACACATTAAGGACAGAGGTCCTACATGGGGAGCAGGTGCACAGTGACTCCCGTTGTTGATTTAACAATTGACACTCTTACTTATGACGTCAGTAATCACCCGAGGCTCTTGTCATGAGCTGCCAAGGCTATGGAAGCCTCTTAAGTTCACCAACTCTGATCTTATTTAGAGAAGGCCATTTTCAGAGTGAAAGTTCTCTCCTCCCTTCAGAGAAAGGTACTGCCTTCTTTGATGGCCAATTTTTCCCGCTGGGATCTCACAGAGATCTTTCATTTAGGTTATTTTATTTATTTATTTTGCCACAGTGTCTTGGCTTTTCGTGCCTGTGAAACTCTCATGGGTTTTAATCCAGATCCGTGTGCCTTAAGGGCTGATTATGAGGCCAGAGTGCTATTTAGTGCATTTGCCATTCTATGAGTCTGCTGCATATTGGGCTTCCCATGTAGGATCAGTCTCTCCTTTTTAATTCTATCAATTATTATTTGCAGACACTGGTCTTATTTATGTAATCTCTTGGACACTTAATCCTATCTTTTTGATCAATTATGAACTGAAAGTGATCACTTTGACTAGTAATATGGCATTGGTACATGCCACCTTGATGGGATTGAATTGGAATCCCCTGGCACATTTCTAGCTCCACCATTAGGGGTAAGTCTGAGTGAGCATGTGCCGAACTGTACATCTCTTCCCTCTCTTATTCCTACTCTTATATTTATAGGGATCACTTTTAAGTTAAATTTAAACGACTAAGAATATTTGTGTGTTAATTAAAGAGTTCAACCAATGGTATTAAGTAGAAGAAAAAATACTAAAAGGAATGAAGTAGTAAGTTATTCCTCAACAGTCAGGACAAGGGCTGATCAAGACATTGTTTCTCAAAGTGTCCATTTCACTTCAACAGGTTTCCTTTTAGGTGCTCAGTTAGTTGTCACTGATCAGGGAGAACATATGATATTTGTTCCTCAGCATGATGTTTTCCAGATTCCTCTATTTTGTTGCAAATGACTGGATTTCATTTTTTTACTGCCATATATATTCTATAAAGTATCTCATAATTTCTTTATCCAGATTTCTGTTGATGGGCATTTGGTTGATTCCATGTCTTAGCTATTGTGAATTGAGCTGCAATAAACATTGAGGTGCAGACAGCTCTTTTATTTGCCAATTTAATTTCCTTTGGGTAAATTTGGGAGCGGATGGCTGGGTTGTATATTAGGGCTATATTCAGGTTTCTGAGCAATCTCCAAACTGACTTCCATAGTGGCTTTACCAGTTTTCATTCCCACCAACAGTGGATTAGTGTCCCCTTTTCCCCACATCCTCGCCAGCATCTGTTGTTGCTAGATTTCTGAATGTAAGTCATTCTAACTGGGGTGAGGTGAAACCTCATTATGGTTTTTTCATTTCCCTGATTGCTAGTGATCTTGAACATTTTTTCATGTGTCTGTTGGCCATTTGGATTTCCTCTTTTGAAAAATGTCTATTTAGGTCCTTGGCCCATCTCTTAAGTGGGTTGTTAGTTTTGTTGTTGTGGAGTTTCTTGATCTCTTTGTAGATTCTGGTTATTAAACCTTTATCAGTTGCATAATTTGCAATATTTTCTCTCATTCTGTTGCTTGCCTCTTCACTTTCCTGACTGTTTTTTTTTATCTTTTATTTAATGAATATAAATTTCCAAAGTACGACTCATGTGTTACAATGGCTTCCCCCCCATACCGTCCCTCCCACCCACAACCCTCCCCTTTCCCACTCCCTCTCCCCTTTCATTCACATCAAGATTCATTTTCGATTATCTTAATATACAGAAGATCAGCTTAGTATACCTTAAGTAAGGATTTCAACAGTTTGCTCCCACACAGAAACATAAAGTGAAAAATAATAGATGATTTTTTTTAAAATGATGATGAAATCAGATCAGACCTATTGTCATGTTTAATCCCAGTGAGAGTCAAGTTGGGAATTGATAATTTCTTTTTCTTTTTCTTTTTTACAGAAGATCAGTTTAGTGTACATTAGGTAAAGATTTCAACAGTTTGCACCCCCATAGAAACACAAAGTGAAATATACTGTTTGAGTACTCGTTATAGCATTAAGCCTCAGTGTACAGCACGTTAAGGACAGAGATCCTTGGCCGGCGCCGCGGCTCACTAGGCTAATCCTCCGCCTAGCGGCGCCGGCACACCAGGTTCTAGTCCCGGTCGGGGCGCCGGATTCTGTCCCGGTTGCCCCTCTTCCAGGCCAGCTCTCTGCTGTGGCCCAGGAGTGCAGTGGAGGATGGCCCAGGTGCTTGGGCCCTGCACCCCATGGGAGACCAGGAGAAGCACCTGGCTCCTGCCATCGGATCAGCGCGGTGCGCCGGCCGCAGCGGCCATTGGAGGGTGAACCAACGGCAAAGGAAGACCTTTCTCTCTGTCTCTCTCTCTCTCACTGTCCACTCTGCCTGTCAAAGATATACAGAAACGTCAAAGAAAAAAAAAAAAAAAAAAAGGACAGAGATCCTACATGAGGAGTAAGTGCACAGTGACTCCTGCTGTTGACTTTACAAATTGACACTCCTGTTTATGGCATCAGTATCTCCCCATGCACAGTTATGAGTTTCCAGGCTATGGAGGCCCCTTGAGTTCTCCAACTCTTATCTTGTTTAGAACCGGTCATAGTCAAAGTGGAGGTTCTCTCCTCCCTTCAGAGAAAGGCACCTCCCTCTTTGAAGACCTGTTCTTTCCACTGGGATCTCACTCACAGAGATCTTTTTGCCAGAGTGTCTTGGCTTTCCATGCCTGAAATACTCTCATGGGCTTTTCAGCCAGATCCGAGTGCCTTTAGGGCTGATTCTGAGGCCAGAGTGCTATTTAGGACATCTGCCATTCTATGAGTCTGCTGAGTGTCTCACTTCCCATGTTGGATCACTCTCCCCTTTATTTATTCTATCGGTTGGTGTTAGCAGATACTAGACTTGTTTATGTGCTCCCTTTGACTCTTAGTCCTTTCATTATGATCAATTGTGAACTGAAATTGATCACTTGGAATAGTGAGATGGCATTGGTACATGCCTCCTTGATGGGATTGAATTGGAATCCCCTGGTATGTTTCCAACTCTACCAATTGGGGCAAGTCAGCCTGAGCATGCCCCAAATTATACATCTCTTCCCTCTCTTATTCCCACTCTTATGTTTAACAGGGATCACATTTCAGTTAAATTTCAACACTTAAGAATAACTGTGTGATAATTACAGAATTACACCAGTCATATTAAGTAGAACAGACAAAAAAAAATACTATGAGGGATAATGTATTAAGTTGTCCATTAGCAGTCAGGGCTATGCTGTTCAAGTCACCATTTCTCATAGTGTCCATTTCACTTCAGGAGGTTTCCTTTTTGGTGTTCAGTCAGTTGTCACCGATCAGGGAGAACATATGGTACTTGTCCCTTTGGGACTGGCTTACTTCACTCAGCATGATGTGTTCCAGATTCCTTCATTTTGTTGCAAATGACTGGATTTCGTTGTTTCTTACTGCGGTATAGTATTCTAAAGAGTACATATCCCATAATTTCTTTATCCAGTCTACCATTGATGGGCATTTAGGTTGGTTCCAGGTCTTGGCTATTGTGAATTGTGCTGCAATAAACATTAGGGTGCAGACCGCTTTTTGTTTATCAATTTAAACTCCTTTGGGTAAATTCCAAGGAGTGGGATGGCTGGGTCGAACGGTAGGGTTATATTCCGGTTTCTGAGGAATCTCCAGACTGATTTCCATAGTGGCTTGACCAGTTTGCATTCCCACCAACAGTGGGTTAGTGTCCCTTTTTCCCCACATCCTCGCCAGCATCTGTTGTTGGTAGATTTCTGCATGTGAGCCATTCTAACCGGGGTGAGGTGAAACCTCATTGTGGTTTTGATTTGCATTTCCCTGATTGCTAGTGACCTTGAACATTTTTTCATGTGCCTGTTGGCCATTTGGATTTCCTCTTTTGAAAAATGTCTATTGAAGTCCTTGGCCCATCTCTTAAGTGGGTTGTTGGTTTTGTTTTTGTGGAGTTTCTTGA